AGAAATTGCATCTAGTTAAATCGCGATAGCCACGCAATGGCTCTCAGGTTCATAACACCCTCAACTACCGCGCACAAGGAGTCGTTCCCCAAGTTATTGCTCGTTGACCCTCCCAGCTCTAAGTTGGCCCTACCTTTCCAGCCGTAGGGTCCAACCGAAGTGGTTGCTTCATGTTGGCCCCTTAAACTTCATGCTGGCCCCACCTATCCATGTTGAATTACATATTGATTCACTTTCAAATATCGTAGCTCACAACGTTTGTTTATAAGATAGTCTTGAAAATTAATTGTTGAAAGATGGAGTAAAATAAATATAATGGAATAAATTTAGGGAGATGCTATGGTTCCCGTCACGGAACCATTCTGTCGAGGTTTATAATCGTTAGATCAACTATCCCGATGGTTACATGATGATCTAACGGTTATAAATCCCGACTGAATTGTTGCATAATGGGACCGTAACATTCCTCATAAATTCAAACATTCGTGCAAAAGGTAATTTAAGGATTGGATTTTTGTTCTTTGTTCCTTTTTTTTTTATTAGGGATAATAAATGATAAAGAAGAAAATGAGAAGATTAGATAAAAGAATCCATAAGAATTAAATTACTAGATTATGAGTGAGAGTGAATAAATTCATAAAATTTGGTTTCATAATATATAGGCGTGACAAAAAAAAATAAATAAAAAAAAAATAAAAAATTGTCTCATAATGTGAGATGGATATTTATTGGGTCTTTATATTGGGCATTGATTGAGGTTAGTCCCTTTAACTTTCATACTGGGTTAGGAGCTAATGAACCCACAATAAATATCAAGGACAAATCTTTGGCAAAATCAAAATTGAAGCCCAATGATTAGTGGACTATTCCCTTCATTCTTATAGCCCAGTGAGTGGGCAAATTGAATGAATGATATAAGGGAAATTTTTGTCTATCCTATAAGATATAAAAGTATTTTCAATTTTACCTTAATATAAAAGTATTTTCAACAATACCTAAACCAACTATTTTATTTAAGGGATTGCATCTAATCAGTTATCTTGTACGTGCGTGAAATCCGGGATTTGAAAATAATAATAATAATAATAATAATAACTGATTTATTTATTACTTCCTTAATTCACGCAACTTGTACATTGTACTTCAAACAGCCGTCAGGTAGTATATTTTGGGTTTATGTTAGTATATATTAAGTGTATGTTGCCATATTATAATTCAAGCAACCGCCAGGTGTTATATTTTGAGTTTATGTTATGTTATATTTTGAGTTTATGCTAGTACATATTCAGTATATGTTCAATAAAAAACGATCTTCCACAAAAAAAATAATATATATATTTTTTATTTTTATACATAAAAGTATATAGAAACACCAAAAATTCCGAAATTTTGGGGGGGAATTTTCGCCGAACATACACCAAAAATATACTTCAAATATACTAAAAATGTGTAACAGGTGCAGAAAGTCAGTGACAAAAGTGTATATCATAGAAAGAGAAAAGATACTTCGGATAGAGAGAAAAGTTACCTCGGATATACCCATCAGATTACCCGAGAAAAAGTTACTTCGGATATACTCGGATATACCCAACATATAACACAAGAAAAAAAGGAACCATTAAAACAGATACCAGAGAAAAATTATTTCGGATATACTCGGATATACCCAACATATACCCAACTCGGTTTTGTAAAAATACCTTCGAATTATAATCAAATCATACAAAAAAAGGAAAGAAAAAAAGGGTCAAATTCTAGGGAACACGAAACGGATTCTTCTTGTCATCGACTCAAGCAGGAGGGTAAACTCGCTGGTGCTGCGCGAACTAGGAATCGCCGGAGGAGGGTCGCGTCGGGGGTGGCTGTTCGCGGGCGGAGGGCGATCGAAATTCGGTAGGTTTTCTCATTTTCGGACTGGAAGTCGTCTGGAACCGGGAGAATTTTACGAAGTTGGGAACTAGATCTAATAACCGGTGAAACGTCTCCACCATCCGCCGGATTTTTTTGTTGAGGAGGAGGGATTTTGGTTTTTGCCATTGAAGGGAATTTTGAGATCGGCAAAACTGTTGAGCGGTTTGAGAAGATGAAGCGATACGTGTGTTGGTGGGGATGATTACCTTTACCTTTTAGTTCCACTTTTTTTGGTAAGTGGATATTTAATTTGACTTAAGTATATCATTACCATTATTAAAAATGTTAATAACGGTTAATAAGGTTTTTAGGCATAATTGAAAATCTTTTATGTGATTTAGGTGATTTTAAAAAAAAGAAATAAAAGAGGTGCAAAAGTGATAAATATTTTAAGCATGACAGTATGACATGCAATTTCCTCATGATATAACCCTTGATAAATGGAGTCCTCAAGTAAATATGAGCCATTAGAATTTATTGCATATCAATTCATGGATTCCATGGAGCCAAAAATGTTATTGATCAAGATATTTTGAACTTTGGTATATTTTCACTAATTATGTGAGTATGTGTAAATAAGAATTTTTTTATTTTGTTTGGATTTTCCAGTTTGGTTTGATTAATTTTGGAAAAAAAATAAATTAGTATGATTAATTGTTGGTGAGTGTGTTAAAATAGTATTTAAAATAAAAAAATAAAAATAATATGATATAAAAGTAAGAGAGAGACGATATAAAAGTAAGTGAGATATTATGTGAAGCGATTGTTAGTCAAAAATTATGCGAGTGGATGAATACTGAATTAAAGTTGATGTGAAGTATAAGAATAATTGGTTGATATTATTTAACTATATTGATAATAGTGAAATTAATATAGTTGAGTCAAAGTTGAGTTGAAAAAAATAATTAAGTTACAAATGTTTATATTCTTTTGAAAATTCTTATATCCAAGCATCCTCTAAACATTTTAATGTACTCCAGCAAATTTTGCCTATAACTAAAACAAGTTACATAAAAAAAATATAAAAAATATAAAATGACATCTATATCTATATATAAAGAAAGAACCTATTTACCAAAAATAGTAACAAAAAAAATCCGCCAAAATTAATTGCATGTCACTTTGAATATTATTTGAATTTTATTTACTATAAAATCAGGCAACATTAAATGCTTCTTAAATGATGAGTTTATTCAATTAATGTTTATTTATTTCATTTTATCTTACCTTCCATATAATCATATTTATAATAAACATTAAATTTGCTTATATAATTTAAATTAATTACATCAATAAATAATATCAATAAATAATATTAATATAAATATTTATTATTAGATAAGAAATAAAATTACTTCTATAAGTGTTATAAATAATAACGACATTATACGACAATAAATAGTTGAATAAAATGATATTTGAGTATTATGATGAACCAAAATATGTAATATTATTATTTTTTCCATATTAAAAAATATATATATATTAAAATATATTTATATTAATATAAACGGGTCAACGAATTAATATAACTAGTATGTACCCCGTGCGATGCACGGTACAAAATATTAAATAAGTTATTTTCACAGACTCCGTTCGTTTGGTCTAAAAAAAACAATATGGTTATTATCCATTTTTCACATCTTTTAATCATCGTTAATTTTAAAATACATTAGGTTATAATCTATTTTTCATATATTTCAACCAACCTAGTTTTTTTTATCAAGAACATTAGATATGAGCGTGTTAGAGCTACCTTGTAAAATAATTAGTATATTATCTCACTAACACATTTATATTAATATAAATTTGATTTTAGTATATATACTTATTTTTTGATAAGAGAAAATAACAGTTTTATTTATTCTTGTTCACCTCACAATAGCTAATTATATTTTATTATAAATTTTGTTATCATATAATATCATTATAATTTATAAAAGTTAAAGAAAGTTGTACATCGTATTGTTCTTTTTATTTTATGTAATGAAAATTATTTTAATGCATGTTAGTATTATTTATGTAATCAATTTAAAATATGTAAATAAATTTAAAATTAAATAGTGTATAAATATTTTACAAAATATAAACACATGTTTTTTAGAAATTAAGTTTGTATACTAATAAATCAAAAATAAATAACGATACCAGATTTTTTAAATGAAGTTTGTAACCAACTTTATTGAAATCAAATATAAAATAGAATTGTAAAGCAGTAAACTACTATCGGAAGAAAAAAAAACCACAATTAATGTCAACTGATTAAATGTTAAATAATGCAACCAAATTTTTGGAAGAAGTTGTATGGCGAATCAAATCACTCACATTAAAATTGCAACCAATCTTATCTCTTACACATTACAATTGCAATAGATTTTTTTGAAAACAAATATAAAATAAGATTTTAAAGCTCTAAACTATATCGAATTAAGAAAAAACCCATAATTATAGGCTGCAATTAATGCTCGCGGATTAATATTGAAAAAAGGAAAACAATTTCCAAAAATAGAATGCAATTATTGTTGACCAAAAATTTTGACTTACTATTTTTGGTAAATAGTAATTCTTATTATATATATATAGATAGATGTTAAAATAAAGTTTTAAAAAAATTGTTTTAAAATACCGAACCTCGTGCATCGCTGGGATTCTCACTACTGATCCAGCCCGGCCCGCTGGGTCAGGGTCGAAATATACCAACCCGAGATCGGCCTGGTTGAAATTCGAACCAAGCTCAGACCCGTGGTCAACGGGTTTGACCGAGCCGAATCCGTGCCGTGTCCGGGCCGGGTCGGCGGGCCGGTTGACCCGTGGTCATGTCTGCTCACTAGTTGTCTCATATACCCTTCAACACTTCTCAAGCAAGATAGGGGGAAATTAGAAAATAATTGTAGTTTGCGGGACCTCGCTGGAAATCATACAAAAATTCGGCAACAGCGAGGATTGGATTTTGACTGTAATCTACGAAAATCTCTGTGTTAATCATCTTCCACAGAAATTGAGATTTTCTCCCCCAAAATCGCTCCGGTTGGGGTTTTCCGACTCCCTTTGAGCTCGGAACGTCAGTACGGCCGATGAGACTGGAATTAATGGCGGCAGAGAGTAGCAGTAATCGGGGGAAGAAAGAGTCAACGGCGGCACTGTCAATCTCGCCGCGTGAAAACGACGACGTCGAGGATCCCGTCAAATCCTCTCCTAATTCCCCAAACAACTCCTCCACTAGAAAGGTTTGCGCATTCATTGCTCGTGCTTTGTTGATTCAGTAGCGTTTCATTCCCATATATGCGTATATTTGCTCACACACAAGACACACACATACTTGAATATGTTGATTCAGTAGCTTTTCATTGGCTTATTTTGGCTGAATTTATGAAAAAAATAAGGAAAAAGGTTGAGGTATACAGGACAGGACGAACAGACACAGTGCGTTATGTCGTTGATGAATTTGTCCAGAAGAAGATCTGAAAGAGTTGGTATACAATTCCGGAATTTAAGATTCTGATGTTTAAGTTTACTTTGTGAACACGCTGTATCACAAATTTATTACTATAATATATGTGCTCTTAAATTCTTTTGTTGGGATTTACGCCGGTTAAAGAAGAGAAATTATTAATACACACTTGAGCATAAAGAAAAAGATTATTAGAGAGCAAAATGAAAGGGAAGAGAATGATTTTTCACATGGCATGGTGTTATAGAATTGGGTGTCGAGTCCTCGTCTTGATTATGCAATTGGGTCCTAAAACAGATTCTTGTATAGTGTATGTGTGTTCTCATTGGGTTATACATTCTTGCCTTGCTTCCTATTGATTATTAGCATTGGATTCTCGAATCTTATGCTATTAAATTTATTCCCTTTTTTTTCATTGATACACGAGTAAATGAGATGTCGCAACGAAACAACAACAACTGTCCTTGTCGTTGCCTTTTAAAGTTTTGTTCATTTCCTCTCATAGATATCTATGAGTGTTTCCCTTTTCATTAAAGTTACATGTTACATTATTCAATTTAATAGTTGGAAGAGTAGACCTGATTCATTTGTTAGGTTGAAGTAGATCCTTGCGCTAGAGTAACTTTTTTCTTCAGAAAGGAAAAAAAAAAAAAAAAA